AGCCAGTCTGGCACCACTTTCACTACCTACCTGCTATGGCAGGCATGGGCAAAGTTGGGCCTTCCTCCAGGTGTTTTGGACTCCAGCTCCCACCATTCCTAACAGCCACCATTCTTTACAGCAGGCATAAGCAAAGTTGGGTGGCTGAGGGGGAAAAGGGAGGGGCCTGGGGCTGTTAGGAATGGTGGGAGTTGAAGTCCAAAACACCTGGAGAAAGGCCCAACTTTGCCCATGCCTCTGCTATGGAATACTCCTGGTTTTGGGACCAGGCCTTTGGGCAGTAGAAGTAAATGTATGCAGCATTTCGGAAAGACAATGCCCGGAACGGCGATTCAACAGACGAGACTGTTTTAATTGTTTTATTTCTCATGGATGTATTTTTTAATTTAATTTATGTCTAATTGTAGTGTATAATTGTAATTGCTTGTACTGGCATTGAATTTTTGCCATTTCTTATGTGTAAACCGCATTGAGTCCCCCTCGGGGTGAGAAAAGCGGTATACAAATACTGTAAATAAATAGGATGATCCTGCTTTGCTACCTTTAACTGCCATGACTGAATGTTACGGAATCATGGGAGTTGTAAATGCCTTTAGCTTTAGAGTGCCGGTGCCTCACCAAACTACAAATACTAAAATTTCATAGCACTCAGCCATGGCAATTAAAGCACTACTAAACGATGTTAATTCTACAGTGGACAACATGCACTTTCTTCAAAGACCTGATTAAGCCGCCAAGTATATCAAGTAGCTGCTAGTACTAAGGTGTGAAAGCAATAAATCTACTTACCCAAAGTCAGTTTCTATGAAATCATCACGTTCTCTAAGGAGATTTCTTTGGTTAAATATTATTTTGAGCTAACAGTAACTTGCCCGAGAAAGCCAGTGAGCTGCAATTTGAATCCAAGTTTCACATTCAGGCATCTCTAATAATGGGTCTCACTAATTAGCATTCACAGCTCCTCGAAAGCAGTGGTCTTCTTTAGACATACTGTACATTTTTATTTCCCTGTCAAGGAGCATTTTATGCTGTCATCACAGATTGCCAGTCTAAAAGCAACATAGGTATTGCATGAAACTAGAATTCCATCAGCCCTTTGTCACAATTCATTATAGTCTCCAATGGCCCCATATCAGCTGTCACTGTCATGCCTATTCCTTTGCATTCCTGAACACCCAGCTGGTCTTAAAGAATTTGAGTTTCTTACTCTGAATGCTATAGAATCATGGGAATTGCACTTCTACCAGTTATTTAGCCTTCACTGTTAGAGTGCTGGTGCCTCAGCAAACTACAATTCCCAGGTTTCTATAGCATTGAGTCATGGCATTTAATTGTGTTGACCTGCATTGATTATACAGTGTAGATGCATCCCAGTGGAGTCTGGGTAAGAGCAACAACAAACTGTTCTCTTCCTTAGATACACAAAAAGAATAAACCCAAAACCCACAATGGTAATGGAGAGTGTAGTGAGCACCCTCCACTCAAGGCCACCCTGCTGGACACAGGTGGCCTTGAGACAGTAGTTATTTATATTGTCTCCCCATGGAAAATGACCTTGGTACCATCTCTCCTCTGCTTCCTCCACCCTAATTCCGAAACTGCTTAAAAGCCCAGGTGCTTATTTGACTTTCTTGACTGTTCTAACAATCCATCAGCACTCCAACTCCTATCTTACATTCGGTTTACACATTTTTGTATCTGGAAATAGTCATAACATATAATGTCCTTCACATACAGGCACATAGTTCCCTTTAGTGGAGTCTACATTCATTCACCATCTCTAATTTCCCTAAATTAGAATCAATATTGCAGAGCATTTCTGATTTAAAAATATTGTTCCCCAGTTCAGTTCTGATTTTTTTTGAGATTTACATTAAAAATCTACTTTGAAGTTCTAGTATAGCTTTATTATCATTATATAATAATAAACAATTGAAAAAAGAGGATAAAGACGCGATAACGAATTTATTAAGACTGCTTATAGCAAGGTATTGGGAAAAAGAAATAAATATACAAATAGAGGAGTGGTACAAGGAAGTATGGAAATTGGCAATAAGTGATAAGTTACCATGTATATTAAAAGAGGTATATGGAAACAAAGTGATTTTGATGATGTATGGAGAAAATTTATTGAAAAGGGATTAAAAAATAAAGAAGAAAAGTTACCTCCACAAGAAGAATTGAAATTTTGGACAGATGATATGTAAAAGTTGTGGCTTGGGAGGGGGAGGGGAGCACAGTGGTAAGGGATAGATAATAAATTTTAAAAAATAAAAAAATCTACTTTGAGACTTAGTTTTATGGGTTTCATTCTGTCCCATGTGTTCTAACTGTGTAAATGTGCATGGGTGATGCTCAGTATTTTGTAGAAGTCCAACATTGGGAGAGATTTATTGGCTATTTATTTTGTATGTCTTCTGCAGAGTAGTATTTTAATGCACATTAGGAATGCAGTCATGGGATCTTAGGGCTGGAAAGTTTTATAAACATCAGCCCTCTGCCATGAAGGAATACAAGGTGAAAACATCGCACAAGATGTCCACCCAGCCTCTGTTTAAAGAACTCAAAAGATGGAGAGCCCACCATGAGAATGTATTCTGCCATTCCCCCTTTTCTGCAACAATCGCATTTCAAGATTTTTCCACCTCAACGCAGAAAGATTTCTGTGTTCTAATATTTTTTGCACTTTTTGTCTGTCTAAACGTGTTTGACCACACTCTGAATGTGCTTGTTATCCCTGTTTTAATTTGTGAAATGTTGGAATGAATGTATTCAAAACATGGCTTTAACTACTCCTTTATGTATTACCACTAAATTAGATACCAAGGGGTAAGCTTTCAGACTGTCCCCCCATGCCATAGCATTTACAGCAAATTGCCCACACAACAGTGCAATAACTTACTTGGAAATGGTTAATTTATATAGTTAACAGCCATAGTTAATTATAATGACCACCACTAATTACCCTTGTAGATCTTTTAACATTTACTTCCATTACAAATACAAGCCTAAACTAAATCTCAGTTAACAATCAGGGGGATTTCCCCCTTCTTATTCAAAGGAGGTGTATTCGAACCTCGAATCTTAAGAAGATAACTTCTTTTCTCATTTTGATGTGCCTTTTGTATGTAATGTATAGAAGAGTTATCCATTTAAATGACGTCTGAGTGAAATAACCACATTGTGATGGATTACATGTGAATCTGTTTAATTTGAATAAAACAACTTCTGGAAAAAATGCTGACATTTAGGTGACAAATCATCTCCCATATGTGAGAAATGGAGGTATATGTCTCTGAAGAAAGTGTCTAAAACCCACCTGTTAAAGAACCACTTATGGACTGAAACATTTTGCTTTATGTTACCAAATGTGTTGCAGTAATTTTCCAGTGACACACAGAGTCGGTTTTGCAAGCCTCTCTGTGACTGTGGTTCTTTACTTCAGTGTCTCTCTTAAATACTCAGAAGGTTGCATCTAATGTGATCATTTCCTTAGTGCAGACATGAACAAACTTTAGTCCTTCAGGTGTTTTGGACTTCAACTTCCATAATTCCTAACAGCCTACCATTTGCCCATGCCTGCCTTAGTGCAAGACTGTTGCTGCTTTTAGAAGCCGATTTTCATCCTTGTAAGAGTGTCAACTTGATATTTTGATTCTAATTATTCAAGCTGTTGTACAACTCATCTTAACTTCAACCTACTAAGTACAATGGATAAAACCTGTAGATGTATAGCAACCACAAATAAAGATTTCTGGCTTTTTAAAGTCAAAACATGCCAAGAAGCAGCATTACTGGATATCTTAACCAGTGTCCATAACCATATTTATATTTCAGTTCACTTACATTGTACTTCACCATTTTACTACTTCACTTCTTGATTTGCCACGCAGTTCAATTCTGCAGAATATGGGTAGAATTAATGCAGTTTGACATCATTTCAACTGCAATGGTTCAATTCTATGGAATCATGGGAGTTACTGTTTACAAGGTCTTTTGCCTTCTCTGCCAAAGTTCGCTGGTACCTCACCAAACTACACATGCCAAGATTCCATAGCATTGATCTATAGCAGTTAAAGTGGTATAAAACGGCATTAATTCTACAGTGTAGATGCATACTAGGAAAGCACTGTATTTCTTCTTCCTGTATATACAATAATTATTAATTTCACTGAAAAATAAATGAGTTACAAAGAAAATGAAACACACCGTAAAGATGAGACAACTGAAATGAGAAAGGCAATATAACATTACTCCGACATTTACAATAGACTGATACAACATACTACATTTTAAATGTAAAGGTTTCCCCTTGATGTTAAGTCTAGCCGTGTCCAACTCTGGGGGTAGTGCTTATCTCCATTTCTAAGCTGAAGAGCCGGCGTTGTCTACAGACATCTCCAAAGTCATGTGGCTGGCATGACTGCATGAAGCGCCGTTATCTTCCTGCTGGAGAGGTACCTAGTGATCAACTGACATTTTTATGTTTTCGAACTGCTAGTTGGGCAGAAGCTGGGGCTAACTCTGGGAGCTCACCCTGCTCCCCGGATTTGATCCTATGACCTTTTAATCAGCAAGTTCAGCAGCTCAGCACCAACTACATTTTAGGATCAGCTAAAATGTACTGGCACCAGCGAAGTCCTCACATTTTAGGTTGTTTTCATATAAAGGAACTATCCAATTATTCAGTATGAAACCATGAGCTCTCAGTACTTTCAATAAAATATTTTGCATGAAACCCGTTCTATGTATACTTGTATACAATTATATACTATTTATGTAACTATAACAATGAATGAACAAACACTATCTGCTATAAAGTGTTGTGTGTGTCATTATATGTTGTCGCTTCACAACAGAAGCGACTTGCAGTTTCTCAAGTCGCTCCTGACACGACAAAAAAAAATTATATGTTGTAATAAAGCACACTACTGAACTCAAAAAAAAAAACCACACACACACACAGTCACCACCACTAGCAAAAATATAACTACAAGTGATCGATTTGGTATTTTTTATTGTTTAGGAGGGAAATTGCAGAATAAACTTGAAAGACACTATACCATGCTACAACATACTGCACAGTCACCAAAGGACTCATTTTTGCTGAAATACATCAACATAAATATTGTAAGCATTTGTGTATATATATCACCACATTGTTTCATTAACAATTTTAATTCTTCAACAGGGGGCCATTTTGAGAGTCACATGAATAGAGAGCTACATGACATTTTAACACATCCCTAAATAAAAAAGTTTCCAGTTTCATTAGCTTCAACAGAATAGTTTGCGGTAAAGAATTGGGCAGAACTGTCCTATAGGCAGTGCAGAATATGGCACAAAGGAGTTATTTGTGCACAATCCAAGTCCGATTAAACACTTTTAAGGGCTGTTGGCTTTAATGTAGGACATCCAAAAAGTTCAATTTGCCCACTGAAATCAGAAGAATTTTAAATGCTTAATTGGGCTGAACATGCCCTTAGTACAAATTATAAAATGCCTATGTATTTTCAGTAAAGGATTTCTTCACAAACGTGTTTGTTGAGTGAGAGATTATAGGCTATTACACACATGAATACAACTTTTGCCTCTTGTTGTTATGCCTTGCGATACCTTGTTGCCCACGTTGATATACTGTTTGCTGTTGATTATGCAATGCAGTGTTATAGGATATTTGTAAATCCCATGAATGAAAACCAGCGGATATTGATAAGAGATGTTATATCTTGGACATTAACATATCATCAGTGTAGACCTCATAATACATTTGCCTATACAATAATATAATACATGTGGTTAAAGGTATTGGTCTTTTTTCATGAATAGTTAAAATTAAATATGCTTTCAAGACTCGTTTAATAAGAGCTTACTAATTCCTTTTAGCATTCTATTAGTGGTAGCCACAGTTCTGTGCCAAGAAAGTTATCGACAGCAATGTAATGCAAATAAAATGTTTTGTGCCATAGTTTAATGAGGGATAATCCACTGTCTACAAGAAACCCTCTTTCATGGATTCCAGCAATTGCATATTTTTCAAGCTTTCTCAGTTAATAGATGCACAACAAAACGCCTATGATAAATGGCATTTAAAAACAATATTTTCCCAAGGTATAACAAACAAACCAGAAAAGACTTGCACATGGCAAACACAGGAACCACTATTTCATTCCAATGTCCTTTTACAAAAAATCCGGATGATTCAATGACGACATTTAAAAAAATGGTTTTAAAACAAATGGATGGACTCACTTGGAACCCATTAGGATATATATTTTCTTAGCAGCTCGAATTCTAAACAAACAAACAAAATATCCCACAATGTTCCCTGAAATCACATTAAACTGAAGTTTCCGTTGTTTACCAAAACGACTACTTGCTCAACAGTACATGTGGGAAGACAGTAAGTTCAGTGCAGATTAACATGATTTCCAGTGTGGACTGCAGCAGCTTCTTTAAATGACAAGCTCTTGTTGTACTGAGAGCAGCAGTGGTCGTATTCTATATTCTTCTATGTCCTCTGTTAATCAAGAAAAAATATACAAAGTGAGCTTGCAGAAATTAATTGATTCATTTCATATTTCTCTTCTATGTTATATCACTATTCTCTTATTCTCAATCGCTGAAGGAATGAAACTTAAAGGGGAAAACTGAGCATGCATTAACTCAAGAAGAAGAGAAATTGACTTTTTACAGGCACCAGTTTGTTCCTATTTGCTAGACTTTTAAAATGTTTATGGGCTGCTAATGTTCCATGTTTTGAAATACACTTTTAAAAGCCCTAAAAGGAACATGAGGTAACCAAATAGATAACTAATAGATATCAAACAAAAACTTCCCTCTGTCATAGAACTGTAAAGACTTGTCAAACCAAGTGGAACAAGCTGAAGGAATTCATAGAGAGGGAAGGATGCAAAAGGAATCAAGAAATGAGCTTAAGGCTTCAATGTCAACTGAATCCTAGTGTATTTCAAGTTTTGCTTGACTGTCAGAATATTATGATTTTTAAGAGGCAGAGAGGGAATTATTAGTATTAGAAGATGGCCTTATTTTTCCATAATAATTTCATCTCTTTCCACCACATAATTTGTGTATGAGAAAGCTATGAATCCACATGTAAGGTAATTTAGTAAAACAGGTAACTTGATTCAAGGAAGTTATGCCTTACCAAGGAAAAAAATAAATTAAAACCTATATTCCCAAGGAAACATAGTGGTATTTTATATAATGTAAGTATCCAGATGAATTCACAATAGGACACTTGTGTGCAGGAAATGCCAAAAGTGAAAGAAATAACTTGATAGTACAGTCATGCTACAATCCTGTATTCCCTGAAGCAGGAATAGTATGTTTTTCTGAAGATGTTTATGGAGCTATAGAAATCCCACTTCCCTTTGTATGTTTCCCATCAGGATGCTTTAGAAGTACTTCTGAAGACAGGCCTATTCCTCTAGTTTCTGTTGCATGCTTTTGCAACAGAAAGTAATAATATTCCTTGAACAGCTACCAAAGTAGTTACCATAAAAATTATACTACTGTACCTTGTTGCTGAATAGCAGTTTGTCAACAAAAGCTGTTGAGAGTTGTCTCCTGTCCTGGACTATTGAATCCATCAATTAAATTTTTATTACAATCATCTATGCTAATACTTTCACTTGATAATTTTGGGTAAGAGGCCTGGCCGGTGAAATCTAGTAGTTCTTCAAGAGCCTTCCCATTATTTGATCCATTTTGGTCCAAAGAAACACCAGGCATCATCTCATTCAGTGGTGAAAACTCAGGGATAGATATGAGCTCTTCTTTTGAAGCAGGGCTATAGAAAGAGGTGGAAGCAGAGGAGAATAAGGTGTCACCCTATATTTTAGTAGCAGAGAGGCAGAATAACACTCATGACATTGGGCTCATCCAGACCTGCCAAATGAGCACGTTTTCATTACTGTAATCGCCACTTTTATTCTTGAGATCCAAATGATGTTTCCCTTATCCCAATGTATTTTTTGCCAATTACCATAACATTTCCTTAGCTCAGTGGTTCTCAACCTGTGGGTCCCCAGGTGTTTTGGCCTACAACTTCCAGAAATCCCAGCCAGTTTACCAGCTGTTAGGATTTCTTGCAGTTTAAGGCCAAAACATCTGGAGACCCACAGGTTGAGAACCACTGCCTTAGCTGAACATAGCAGTTTTCACTGTCCTGATGCATTTGAATTTCAAATTCACATGAACCCTACTGTTATGGTTCATTTAGCTTGGGGTAGTCCTTCTGCATGCAATGATGTGGGATGTGGATACTCATTCCCCAACAAGATACGGCCTCTTTACAGTCTTTGCAGGTATAATCTTTTATCCCACTTCTTACAGGTGGACAAACAGAAATGAAGACTGCAATATATGTGGGAATTCCTCTGAGGGGATGTGCAAGTGGATTGAACATACCCACAGCTAATGCCACAGTCCACATTATACACTGCCCACAGACGATCCAAACCATGCTACCCTTCTATGTACATTTTTTGAGAAAAGTAAGGAGAATGTTTTAGATGAGTAAGTGACAAAAATATCATTAAATTGTACAGGCATAAATCAACACAAGCTGACACTCTAGATGAGCCCAATGACATTTCAACTGACTCATTTTATAATGAGTGGATAGCCAGAAACATATTTTAACTTTAAAGAAACCTGCATTTCTGTGCACATTTGTACCGTATATTCCGGCATATAAGACGACTGGGCGTATAAGACGACCCCCAATTTTTTCAGTTAAAATATAGAGTTTGGGATATACTCGCCGTATAAGACCACYCCTCTTCCAATGCACACYAAATAWAAAAAAATTAAAAATCAGATTTGAATTCAAGATGGTAATTTTAATTCAAATGCTTATGACATGCAGGTTCCCATGAGAGGGACATTGTACCTTACGTTGTACATTACAGTCCCTTAAATTTCATTTATACTCTGGGTCCTTTACATCATGCTGGYAATAAGTTAAAATCAACTGTTGCATGAAATAATTCTCATTTAAAGCAATTATARAAACCTGCCAAGGTAACGTGTCATATCAGTTCCCTTTTGCCTTTTCTCAGGCTTCTCCTATTGACACAGCCTACAGGCTACAGGCTCCTGCAGCAGCGCGGCGTGGGCCAGATGCTCCATTGGCCTCAATTGGGTCCAGGAAGGAGAGAGGCAGCGTGAGGAAGGCGGCCCTCCGGCCTCCTTCCTCATGCTGCCTCTTTCCTCACTGGGCCCAGCTGGGGCCCAACAGAGCGTCTGGCCCACGCCGCGCTGCTGCAGGAGCCTGTAGACATGCTGGAAGCCTCTCCAGAAGCAGCAGGGGTGAGCGCGCTCACCAGCGCAGGTCTCCCTCCTCCGTCCTCGCCCCGCAGATGCCTTCCTCGGCAAGCGCACACGAGAGAGGAGGGAAAGGTGTGCACCAGCTGCAGAAGACAGCGCAGGCCTCCGCAGGGTGCATCTTTCCCTCCTCTCCCATCCCGTGTGCACCTCCACCACCGAGGAAGGCATCTGCGGGGCGAGGACGGAGGAGGGAAAGGTGACAGACGCTCCGTTGGGCCCCAGCTGGGCCCAGTGAGGAAAGAGGCAGCGTGAGGAAGGAGGTTGGAGGGCAGGCCGCTGCGGGCGGATGTTCTCCTCCGCTGCCTCGGCTCCACTGCCATTCGTCATCTAATATGTCCGGAAGACAAGACGACCCCCAAGTTTTCAAAGGATTTTAAAGGTTTAAAAAGTCGTGTATTACCCCGGTTTTTACGGTACTTAAAATTAAAACCTATCTGACACAGTGGGATATACTTCTGAGCAGCCATGCATAGCTTTGGGATGCATACTTTCCTTTAAAAGTGGATGAGTTTACCATTTTGTACATGGTAATTAAAATACCAAATATTGTTTCAGAGGGCTTGTGGGAAATAAAATACAAGAAAAGCATTTCTTTAATGAAATGAGAAATAAAACTTTAAAATTCAGGTGTAGGGTGCAATAAGTTACTTGACACTTGAACAAGAGGCTTGTGCAAGTACATTGAAAAAAATACAAAGAAATACAGTTCTAATGCAGGGTCAGACATGTGGAATCAGCAGTACAATTCTCTGGATCCTGACCAGTTTTTGTAAAACAGTGCATACCTCACATCCATAGACTGAACTTCATCTGCTGAATCATCCATGCTGTGAGATTTCCCATCCACTGCATCCAAGTGAATAAGGCTCATAAGTGGTTTAAGTCCATTAGAAAATACATCATGAGGGAAAGAGTCAGGCACAGCACAGCCTAGGCCTTTGTCATCTTTACAGTTTGCCAGTCCATTCATTTCTATGAAAGCAAATCCATTAGGAAAGATAATTAAAAAAATACAAACACAATGAACTTAGTCTTTGAAGCCAAAGATCAAACAAATACATCACTGTTGTTTCTAAATAGGTCTGCACTATAGAAAACATATAAAATATTATGTCAGAATAGGACAGGGGTCATTCAAATGGAAAGGTTTAAGAAAGGTAAGCAGACAGCAACTTATTGTGTATTAATTCTGTTGCTCTCCAGTTTGTGAATATATGTGTGTATGTGAATTCATATACAAGTTAGAGACTTAGAAGACTCGAAGGAGGATTTGGGGTTATCATGTCCCCTTCGTTACACAGTTTGCTCAGCAAACATAAAATCCTACAGCCGAACTATGAGAGACAGATTTTTTTCCAAAATAAACAAATGTAGCTGCCCTGGATTGATTTTGAATATTACTCTTTCTAGATCCGTATAGTCTACACTTACTTGAATTCACTTCCAAAAAAAGTCAAAGCCACTTCCGCTCCAACAGTGCAGAGGGATTTAGGAAAATAACTGGGGTGAACATTTATGTAACAGTGTTTACATTGTACCTTTTTAAATACATGATAATTCAAGGTAGCTTACAGTGTGTGAAAATAAAAAACAACCACAGTAAAGGAAATATCAACAGAACAATAGAAAAGATTAGACAGGATTTACTAGGTAGATGGGACACATGCAGCTCCCAAGCATCACATAAGTAGACTCTCAGCTCCACAAACCCTTATTTTAAAAAATAATAATTTCCTCCTGCTTTGGGTAAATTTGGCCTCAAACTGTCCAAAACAACTTAAAACCAGTTGCAAATGCAGGGATTTACTCTCCATGCCTAACCAAAAAAATGATTAACCAAAACAGTCAATAGAAATTCATTTTTACCAGTTTGACTGATGGCAAGTGGCTTTGGTTGTCTGTCCACATTCAGAGTTGTTGGCACCTCCAGTTTTGTGTCTTCCTTCTGCATGTTGAACCATGAAAAATCCATTAGATATACATCTTTGTAAAAAGGTTATTGCAGTAAATCTCACAAGTTATTTCTTTCTGAAATGTTATAACTCTTAGTAAAGTAGATCCTGTTTGCATAGCAATCAAAAACATATTGTTTCTTATCTGCAGCAAATAGTCAGTTTTGACTCTCCTTAGAAGGATCATACTCATAACATTTATTTAATAGAGGCAACATCATGGTTAGCAATACAGTAGGCCCTCTGTATCCCCAGATTCTGTGTCAACTGATGCAACCATCCATGGCTTGATTATATTATAAAAAAGAAATCCAAAAAGTAAACATTGATTTTTGCCATTTTATATAAGGACACAACTGTACGGTGCTATTGTATATAATGGTACTTGAGCATCCGCGGATTTTGGTATTCGCAGGAGTCCTAGATCCAATCTCCAGCAGATACCAAGGTACCACAATTTTGCTTCTCTCATGCCTGTCATTACCATGGCCTATGCTAACTTGGGGTTATGGGAATTGCATTCCCACAATAGCCCCAAAGGGGAAGAGGTGTAAATCAGTTCTCTCTGCTGTCTAGAGCCAAAGTGCACAATACACACACTGGCTTTCTTCCTCTGCAGATTTCTCTTTCTAGGGATGTAAGCTGGGAAGGAAGTTTGCTGAGGGTGATACTCAGCAGAGCAACTGCAGGAAGGAAAACAGTCATGATCCTTTGCTTTCCTGTTTACTGCTATTAATTGCAACCTTTCTGGCTCCTTTGTGTAAGAGAAGACAACTAATGAAAAGGGACTGCATAGCTATATGTAACATATACAGTAGGCCCTCCATAGCCACAGATTCTGTATCTATGGATTCCACCATCCAAGGCTTGAAAATATTCAAAACAGATAAATTAACCCCACAAAGCAAACCTTGATTTTTGCCATTTTGTATAAGGGACAGCCGCCGGTGGCACAATGGGTTAAACCCTTGTGCTGGCAGGACTGCTGACCGAAAGGTCGGTGGTTCCAATCCGACCAGGAGAGCATTTAGCCAGCCCCCTTTTCCATCTTAAACTTTAAAGGAGACCTGGCTCCATCCTCAGGCCTCTCGCACAGAACTTCTGACGTTTCAAAATGGCTCGCCAGGAACTTTGTCCAAGAGGCCTGAGGTCAGAGGCAGACCTCTCTGCTAAGTTTAAGGAAGAAATGTGGGGCTGGGAGGTGAGGATGGCAGTTCCATCCTGATTCTCTTCTAAAGTGCTTTAGTGCATTTTCCTGAAGTTTTAACTATAATGATATATTTCAGGAGATTGCACTAGAGCTCTACAGCACAGAATTTTGATTACCTAATCAAACTAAAAATCCCAACATTTAATTGAAGTACCACTTCACCTCCCAGCACTTGAAGTGGTATCAAACTTATATAAATGTAAAGTGTAGGAAACACTCTATTTCTCTATATCAGTGCCTGCACAAATATTTATGCACCTGTACAACCTCTGATCAACATAAGATATGGCTCTCTGGACCGAAATATTTGTTCACCCAATACATAGAGATGGTTACAGTTAAACATATATTTTTATCACTGTGCAGTATAATAGCCCTAGACTTCTCTTGTCCTTACCTTAATTTCTGGTGTTTCACTTTTTCGTGTTCTTTTCATTATTTCATCAATTCTCTAAAGCATGGAGTGGAAAAATATCTGTTTACTGTCTTCTTCTTTTCAACAATATATAGTATAGAAGCAATTGCTTTGCCTTCTAAAGGTTCTATTAAACCTACATAGTTCTACAGAATTGCGGTTAAATGTTTTTAAAAAAATATTTGGATTGACATGTAAGTTAAGGTGATATGGCCACTACTATAGTTCCCACTAAAGTTCAATCTGATCATCCAACTCTTTTCTTATTCAGGTAGTTCATTTAGAAATGGGTTTTCCTACATTTTTGGGAGCAAATAAAAATGACAAAATCTTCATGCTACCTTCTTTCGCTCCAGTCTTTCTTGCTCTATCTGTTGCATAATTTGTTCCCTTTCTAGGCGCAGATGTTCAGCTGCTTCCCGGGCCTTTGCTTCTGCTGCTTCTTTCTAATAAAATGCACACATGAACAAACACAGACCTTAGTTATTCAAAGAGAAAGAAGTTATCAGCCCCCCTCCCTCCCCAGAAGATTTAAACATACTGCCTATCCTTGAAATGTAGTTCTGAAGCTTGATTTCTGTTCGCAGTTCATCTTAACTTTATTTATATTTGCACTACTATGAGCACCATCTCATAATTCATTACAATCATGTGGATCATGTGGCAAAAAGCACAGGGATGTATATGTACCAGTGCCTCCAAATTCCAGAAAGGAAGGATAATAAAAGAACACAGGAATCTGCTGTACACAAAGTACATCATTTTCTCTGCTACAGACCAATACTGTAAGGATATTTGAACAAATGTCTGAGAAACACCAAGTTTTATCCATAATAAAATCACAATAAAACTGTATTTATATATCTTTATTTATAATGTTTATTTATAAACATTCAATGAGAAGAACTTATTATGGTCTGATTTGGTCTAAGTCCGATTCATATATTGATGTAAGAAATGGGAAACCTAGGTAATGTAGTAATATTCCTGTATTTGCTGCTTTGTACGTAATGTTGTGTGATCATTTTAAGAAATAACACATCTAAAATATGAATCCAGTTTACATTTTACACTTCTAAAAGTCCATACCTGTGTTTCAATCATAGCTCGTAATTCTCTTTCCTGCTTTTCCCTTAGCATACGTTCTTCTTCAGCTCTTCTTTTAGCTTCCTCTTCAATTTTTCTCTTAATCTCTTCCTCCTCACGCTTTCTTTCTTCCTCTCGTTTACGGGCCTCTTCCTCCAGTCGGATCCTCTCTTCTTCTGCCTTTCTTTCCAGCTCTTCTCTCTCTAGCCTTCAAAAGTCACAGCACTTTTTTAAAAGACTGGCAGAAAGATTATACCATTTATTGCACTGAACATGGCACTGAATGACAATGCCGTGTTTTCAGTGCATTTTAAAAATGTTGGTGGAAAATTGAAGTTATGCCTCCAAATTATGAAGAAAGGGACAGGGAGCCCATGGTTAGGAAGAACTTCCTAACTGTGGGAGCTGTTCAACAGTGGAACTCTCTGCCTCAGAGCATGGTGAAGGCTCCTTCTTTGGAGGCTTTTAAACGGAGGCTGGATGGCCATCTGTCAGCAGTGCTTTGAATGGAATTTTTTGCTTCTTGGCAGGGGGTTGGACTGGATGGTCCATGAGGCCTCTTCCAACTCAATGATTCTATGATTCTATTGTCAAAGATGGGCCATGATTTAGAATTATTACAGGCATTAAGGACAGTTAATTCCCACTTGCCTGAAGGTGATCCTAACTGAAAGCTGAACTGATGCTACTTGTCTAAGAGTACATTGCTATTAATGGGGAAGGGGGTCAGTACCTTTTGCGCTCTTCTCTCTCCTGCCTTTCTTTTTCCTCCTGTTCTTTCTGGAGGCGAGCTTGACGTCTTTTCTCTGCTAGAATTCTTGTAGCTTCCTCAGCATCTGTTGTCCCGGCTGCAGTTTTCCCTAAGGATATTTTATTGGATGAAATGAGTATTTGTAAATAGACAGATTATCAATCAGCAACATCAAGATTCCAAAATTGAAACTGTATGAAACACTAAACTCCTTCTTAGATCTCCAACTGTATGAAATAGTCCTTTGCTACATTTTTAAAAAGAAATTATTTATTCATTTATTGCATTTATATACCGCTTTTCTCACTCCCGGGGGGGTGGGGGTGAGGGGGTGGGGAGAGACTTAAACCGTTTCACAGAATACTAAATGGCAAAATTCAATACCTGACATGTATAAAACATCACATATCAAATCAATAACATATGACAATCAATTAAAATATTTTAATTGTATATTGTAGATTGTTATGGCATCAAATAGCTGTCGGGTTGTAAGCCGCCTTGAGTCACCTTCAGGCTTGAAAAAGGTGAGATAAAAATATGGCAAATAAATAAATAAATAAAAACTATAAAAGAACAATCACAGACACAACATAAAACATTTAGATCTTACATCAATCCTGAGGTTATCTTTAACTACTTCCATATCTCCATATTTCAGTCATTCACCGAATGCCTGCTTGAATAGCCAGGTCTTAAGCTGTTTCCTAAATGCTAGGAGGGAGGAGGTGATCTAATCTCACTGACGAGTGAGTTCTGTAGCTAAGGGGCCTCCACCGAGAAGGCCTTGTCTTTCGTCTCCACCAATCACGCCTGCAAAGGCAGTGGGACTGAGAGCAGGACCTCCCTGGCAGATCTTAGTATTCTTGCTGGCTCATAAAGGGAGATGCATTCAGACAAGTAAGCTGGACTGAAACTGTTTAATGGATTTATAGGCTAAAGCCAGCACTTTGACTTCTACTCGGTAGCAGACTGCCAACCAGTGGATCTGATGCAACAGGGGGGTTGTTCTTGAACGCATGTGAGGATTTCAACTACAAAAGTCATATAATTTTCAGGGTATGATACTATATTACTGGGTGATGGTGCTAGAAGACAAAAACACAAAACAACAATGAGAAACATAACTGACTGTCATGCATATTTATTTTTGTTATGGGTCTTTCCAAGCAAACCATTCCAGGTAATATGAAGTGCTATTGAGGGACAGGTATAGATGACACTCTCTGAATTTACACTTTTCTTTGCCACAGAAATTAAACTGACAGAACTAGTTATTTGAATCAACAGATTTAAAGTGTATAGCCTTAAGGAGTAAACATAGAAGCCAAAAACAAACAGACACACCTTCACTGCTTTCTATCTTTCCAGAAGAAGGCACAACTTTTTCAGCTACAGGTTGGCTTGCAGGTTCTTCAGCAGGTGATGTTTGGGCCTTCAGGCTAGTATTTTCCCTTTGATTATCTTTATGTTTTTCTGCCCTTTTTTTGGGTGTTTCTTGGTTGAGATTTGAAGTGGTGCGATGTTTCGCAGGAGAAGCAGGAAACTGTTTAATAGTTTTTGGAGACTGAGGATAAGTCTTTGTGACGGACCTTAAAGGGAAAAAAATCAACATTTCATTACTGTAATAACAGAGGGTTTAGGAAGTACAAGCCTGTGATTGAATGATCAATATTTCTTCTAGACATTTACAAGAAACAAATAATGAAACAATAATCTACAAACATGACACAAAGTGAAGGTTAAATACGCAGGTTGTCCTCCAGCCAAAATAGGACTGTGAACAGGAAGGAACAGATCATGTGCCAGTCATCAAATGAGTTTGGGGCTTTTTTTTAAAAAAAACAGAGAGACAGTTGTATAAACTGGAATTAATAGCAATTCATTTAGGACTGGCTAAAAAAAAAATGACATTGTCCTGAGTCAGTTTGAATTAATTTTGATTGGTACATTTCCATGATGTTAAAATACTTGAGTGGAGCGGAGGAGGGAGAAAAAAATGTGATACGCACAAGGATATGAATACTGAGGTATTTAGACAAGCTTAAATGTCACAGAATTATAATTGTTGTCTTCAGGCAAGGACTCTGTTGAATACATTTAAAGAATGTTTGAATACTAACATAGATCTAAACATAGCAATCACAGATAGCAGTTACTTCAATGAGAAGATAAGCCAAAATGCTTTGGTTTTGTCCTGTAAAATGATTCTTATAGATCTTGCAGCCAGGCATCTCTTGCAAAAGATCTGTACCACTTCCTGACTTGGCTCTAATTTCAGACAGACAGAAACAGAATTCTCCTTGTCCGGTTTGCCCTCTAGTCAGCAGTTCTAGGTATCAGATTCATCCTTTATTTCCAGCATCTTTTCCTTCTGGAAAAACACACTCTTTTCTTTACCTTAATTTTAGACTAATTCATAATATCTTAAGAAAAGCAAGAAGTAGCAAGAACGAATGTGCTGCTTCTATATTTTCTATCCTAACCTTTAAAGTATACGTTGAGTATCCCTTATTCGAAATACTTGGGACCAGAGATATTCCAGATTTCTGAAATTTTGGGGGGAATTTTTTAAAAACAGTATTTGCATTTGTTTGTTTGTTTATTGCTTTTCTATACTGCTTTTTTCACCCCTTAGGGATTCAAAGTGGTGTACAGCATAATAAATGGCAAAAATGCAATGCCTCACATACATATAAAACAATACATTAATATCTAATGCAATAACATATAACTGTAAATTAAAATAATTGAAAACTATACAAACCATCAGACATGACCGTAAAATATTTTAAATAGTGCATCAATCTTTTAGTTGTTCTTTAAGCTGCTCCAGTATTTCTATCAATCACCGAATGCCTGCTTGCATAGCCAAGTTTTGAGCTGTTTTCTGAGGAGTTCCACAGTTGAGGGTCCATCACCTAGAAAGCCCTGTCTCTCATCCCCACCAATTGTACCTGTGAAGGCGGCGGATCCGAAAGCAGGACCTTCCCAGCCAATCTTAACACTCTGACTGGCTCATAAAGGGAGATGGACCAGAACCAATACAAATATAACTGGTCTTAGACATGAGAAGCAAATCTAAACAGTGAATTTATTTATATCCTATACACATAGCCTTAAAGTTGATTTTAAACTTCATATTTGCTAACTGTTAATTATTGAAACTAAGTTTGTGTACATTTAACTATCAGAAAGTGATGACTGCACTATCTTTCAGAATATTCCACATTTCAAAATTTCAGAGAAGGGATGGTCAATCTGTATAGACATTTCTACCCTATTAGAATTTTTGTCAATAAAATATTCTGAAAACAGTCCCAGACAAGGCAACCAAATTAATGGTTTGTAATGTGCCAGCCCTCTCTAAACAAAACCACCATTAAAAAGCTGGCAAAGTGGCTGCGGTACTTCACACAGCAAGTGGGCAGATTTTTCACGTAACTGGAGTTATGATTTATAAACTGAGATTATTCTGTATGCCTGAAAGGTGCTACATTGTAGCACATTGATAAGATTTGCATTTGTTTTATGTATGTTGAAAATGAAAATTTAAAAACACACTGTAATGTATAGAACAGAAAAGAAGAAAAACAGCAATATGTGAATTTGTCATCTTTTCTGCAATATTTAAATTGTCTTGGAGCTCACTGAAGATTTGCAAAACATCCTTACTTTGGAGTAGCAGGTGAAGCTGATCGCTTAGACATAGCTGCAGGGGAATCAGATCTTCGAAGAGGAGATCCCAAGCCAGACGATGTGCCAGGTGTTGTGGGTCGTTTCTCCTTTTTCTTCTTCTCATTCTTGAAAAAAAAGGAGAGAGTCTTTTGGTAGCTGTAAAATAATGTTACAGTCACAAATACATTTATCACAGATTCTTAAACTGATCAGGGCAGCTGTAGGGGGAAAAAACCCCATTTGAATAAAATAAATTGCAAAGCAGGGCTAGAAAATTCCCATGGGTTATATATATTTATGTCCCTCTGTCTCCTATTTTTAATGTATCAGCAAATATTCCTCCTAAGCAATGTTGTCACATTTTTGGCCTACTATGAAATATTTTAGGCCAAGAACCTAGACCTATTCTAAACAACAGGAAGTGAAATGGAAGATTACTGGTGAAATCATCTCTGTGCCCTTTGGAGATGCTAAGTTACATTTGGGGACAAAACAAATTTAAGGGGCATGGCAGAGGTATGTGGTCCTATGGAGGCAAGTGCTGCTCACTAACCTCAAACAGTTGCCCACTGCTGTTGCAAGACACCCTGTCATTCGCATAGGTACACTTGCCTGAACCACCTTACTACTAAAGTCCTTTACTTATCAATTAAATCTTCCAACATTATACTTCTCTAAGCGCACACTGTTTCATACATATCATAATAAATATAATGCTGCAAAAGTTTTAATTGATAATTTAAGTATTTTACTGCTAAGGTAGTACCAAATATACTCATTTGAAGTTTGGCCATAAGAGGATTGTTACTTTTCAATGCCAAGCAAGTTCAGATTCAGACGACCAAATAACAAATATATAATCTCAAGAAGACTTTAGAATTTATCACACAAAGCAGTCAAATGGCAATTACAACAGGATAACAGCTGGACATAACATGGAGTTATCATCTTCCGTTGTTCCTTGGGGAGTGGGGGGAAAGGAACAACATCATGTGGTAAGTCCCAGACGAGGATGCTGTTGCCTTCTGCAAATGCAATTGTCCCAACTCGTGCAATAAACTCCTAAGGCTTTGTTGCAGATGCAGTGGTTTTTGAAGCTACTGGTTTTTAAAGCACTTTATAAAGAGACTGAGGGGGACCAAGGAAAAAGTCTAACATTCATCTGAACTAGTCAAATGGTTCTGAATTATGGAAAAAAAACAATTACTTCCACACACAGTCATCTTATTTCTCATTTTCAGCTGCAGTCTATCTGCTACAGAGTTACTGTTGGTACCTGTGAAATATGGATACTGGGAGCATGTTTCACTGTCTATTAAAGCAAGCCTAGGCATTTCCTCAAACTCAGGCTTTTAACTCCAGGAAAATAGAAACAAACAAAAACTTTAAAGACATGACCACAGAGTGAAGTTAATGCTTCCGATGCTTATTTTGGAGCTTCAAGAACAGTAATGTCTATATATTCTGCAGCAAACAGTGCAATGTATTCTTACTCAGAGCTCATTTAGTCATTACGTCTTCACTCAGCCTGCTTTTTTCCAAGAGACTTCAAAAAAACAAACCTCATGGAGGGCTGCCCTGTCATTAGGCAAAGCAAAGAAGTCACCTCATGCAGAAGACTAGGGCTGTCTTGAAATGGTAGCAAAATGTTTGTTATTTTTGTACTTTGACTACCAGGGAGGGGACAGAAGAAGTTTGTGGGATTTTCAGCCTTCAGTACTATATCTTTACTAATAGGACTGCCTAGTTGCATTGTTGCTCCCCTTGAGGCAGCAAAATGCCTTGAATATTACAACTGCAGATTCAAGGTATGGGTCACTAGAGTAAATCAAGTGCCTAAGGTGACTTGGGAGGGAAGGTAAAATCACCTTGACTTGCAGATTGTTTAACCTTATTTCCTTGTAATGCTTTTAAGTAAACAAATGGAATCCTACTCTTTCAAATATTTGAAGGGGAAGTTGGGGAGGGGGGGTGATCTTCCGCTTTTTTACTTGCAAGTAAACTATCCCTCCCTGCTATGAGAAGTTCGGAAGAGAAGGAGCATCCGGTTCCCTGTACTCTCTCTACTGGGGCAGGAAAGCACCAAAGAGATGCCACCACTGGTATTTCTGTGTAAAGGCATTCCAAAAATACAGAAGCAGTGCCATGGCAAAAAGAAGTACTCACTGGTTAAAAAAAAAACATAAAGTAGAAAGATAATATAGTAGATAGACTGATTATTGTCTCCTTGAGTCTATATCTATATATTGGGATTAGTACACAGAACAGAACTTTTCATTTTCTCTGTTTCCAGCTCCATGTGGATATATGAAATAAACCTTCTGATCCATAACAACATGGACAAGAGTTCCAGTCTTTTGTAACATACCCTTTTGACAAACTTATTCTTATTTCACATGATGTAAAAGATATGAAGCAAAACTTTGCATGTGGTATCAACCTCTTTGTGCGAAGTAAAGACAATTCCAGCCAAGAAACTCACTTTTAAAATTGAATCACTGGCAGTAATGTAATTATTCAGCTCTACTTTTCATTAAAGTCCATGAAAGAAAATACATATCACAGCACTTCAAAATAAACCAGAGTTAGAACCTAGAAGAGCTTTGCAATTTAAAAGGGAACAGGAAGATCTATGTAATCAGAAACTTAACAAAACAACTTGATGCTTTTTGGAGACAACCATTATGAAAAAATACATCCCTAAATACCACAGCTTCCTCCCAAAATGTCTCTGTGTAAGAGTAGATGCTTAGAAAAAATGTGACTAAAAGAATGGAAGTAACAAGATGAGAGGGGTGGAGAGGAGGAAGAGAGCATGAGATGGGTGTTCTTTTATCTTTAAGAAACAGAATGTAATCAATAACAAATATTTTAAAAACAGAACTTCAGTTTTTCTCCAATCAACTTTCAAACCCACCTGGGAGACTTCAGTAGCACTTGCTCCCTTCACTGCATCTGGTGTGGAAGGAGAAGTTGCCTTCTTTCTCTCCATACTCCGAGTGGGGGAAGGCTTGTAAGGAGATCTAAGAGGGCTAGCTGGTGCTACACGAGGACAGATATGGAATACTAAAGAGTTATAGTACAATAGCAAGAGCAATAGGGAACGGAGACAAAAGAAGTGAGGGAAAAGAGGAGGGAAACAGCACAAACTTATTAGAAACATTCTGACACAAAAGGTGGTCAAACACACTAGAGAATCGTGTTTTCTCTTCTTTATACAACTATCACATATTTGCCCTTATACCTCACTAAATTAATAAATTTTGTTTTTTCAGGATTTAGAGATAAATCATAATTGATTTTTAAAATCTTGTTCTGAGAAATACTGCTGTTTCATGTTAATTTTTAATCAGAGGATTCTGAAACATGTCTAAAGTCATAGCCTACGCAATGACCATCAGTAAATGATGCATGATACCAATTTTATCAGATGCATAAATAATCTTAAAGTAGTTTGCTGAATGTTGCTGGTCTTGTGTAGCTTTTCAAAGATCTGCACAAGCTGTTAATACCACTACTTCTTAAACCTGTAGCATGTTTTCTGAACAAATAATTTTAGTTTCCTGGAAAATATTGGCTGAAAACTTTGCCATTTTGAAAACTAATGTTTTGTTTATTATCTGCCAATCTATAATGTTACATTATTCAATACCCATATTAACAGAACCAGGCAATCATCACATGAGAATTCCTGAATAAATGACTTTATGTGTATCCATGGTTGAAGGATCAATACTAAAATAACCTAAAATTGATCCCTTTCATAAAGGAAGTATCTCACCATCCTCCCCCCAGTGTACCTAACACATTCCTTAAGTTTTTAGTTTACCTGGATCATTGTATTGCTCAGAAAGCATTAATGTACTTCTGCTTCTGGCTAAAGAAGCTTGTGTGGGAGTCAATAGTCGTGAAATAATAAAGTTTTCCATTGGACTAAGGTGCATGCGATGAGCTGAAGGATGGAAGCAAATGAAAAACATTAAGAATATGGCTACATCTAAACCTTGAAAATAAATATAAAGAATGGACAAAACAAAATAAACAAGGAAAAACCAACAATTAACAACTACTAGGAAAATATGTAAATGGGATTCTTGAATTTAGTTTTTCTACCAAGGAGCAGGTCTTTTTTTACCATTTTATGTCTTATTTCCTCTAGCTAGTGAAACAGATACTGAGGTAGTAGTCTCCTTTGTAGTCTCCTCAGCCTAAGTTTCCATAAATATTCTAATCAGGTACTACCAAGAGCATGGACTGACTGCTGGCCTTATGTTATGACAGTGGCAAATGATTTTGGTCTTCAGTTTTAAGAAACCCCCAGTCAGTATGGCAAGAGATTATGGGTTCTAGGATGTGTAAATCCAAAACAATTGGATGTAAAACACGTGAAAACTAGCTTTCTTATCCAGAGCTTAAGTTATACTATTTTTTCTGCTATGGAGTCTTTTCGGCCTTCAAAAAGCTTCTAAGCACAACAACTGAGACAACCAGGGCAAACATGCATTCTGGCCCTAGTAAGCAATAAGCAAAACATTGGTGGCTTCCTGGGAAATGACAGAACCAGCAGGATCTGCAGCTATTTTTCAGGAATGGGGCTACGTCATCTGTATCTGAAAGTCATCATTTCTACCAATTTCAGTGAAAAAAGATGTGGAAGATCAGGCAGGAGGCTGTGATCCAAGGCACTTTTCAACAGAAATTAATTTAATAATCCATTAAAATAAAATTATAAAAATATTACATTATTTCTATCCCATTCTATATCAGGAGATCTCAGTGGATAGTGACAAATACTTAAGTTAACGTCTACAGATATCCATGCACTATATTCTTGCATCAAAGAAGCTTTAAAAATACTTTCACAACTCTGAGCTCAAATTCCATTTAGTTGGCAGGAGAAGAGGGAAAAGTCCAGTCAAAGTAATGAGTAAATACAGAACTACTCTGTTGAAGAGTCCTTTGCTTTAATTAAACATTTGTCATCATCCACTGCTGGGAGTTACTGTTGCCGCAGTCTGGGTTCATCTGATTTATAAGCATATTACATTTCTATACTGTGCAACAGCCAAAGTTCTTCAGTTAATTCATAAAATACAGCCAAAAACATAAAATTTAAAAACAGCCTAACAAATATATCCTCAAATATGACAATTATGGGCATCAAGGCACTGCCAGAAAAACATGGACAGGATAGGATCATGCTGGGAGTTTGCTCTTTTGCTCCAATTTCCTTCTTACTAGAACAGGCTCTCTGGGACTTTTAAAACATGCCTCTTTCTTGGTTCAAAACATTTTCTCTGCAGTCCTAATCCAGAAGAATAAGTGTGAAAAGATCTTTGTATAACAGTATGCATGTGTAGTTTGCTGGTACGAGCAAGAATCTGCAAAAATGGTGTGCTAATGCCGAATTTGCAAGGCATCTGCAGTTCGTCGCTCCCTCTATAATTATACCTGCTCCTTCTAATATGTCCCCCTGACGTATCCCACTACATCAGTGGTTCTCAACCTGGGGTCCCCAGATGTTTTTGGCCTACTATTCCCAGAAATCCCAGCCAGTTTACCAGCTGTTAGGATTTCTGGGAGTTGAAGCTCAAAAACATCTGGGGACCCCAGGTTGAGAACCACTGCACTACATGAAGGCCAAACTTTGAGAGGGAAACAAGCACTAAATTCTGCTTCTTAGCAAATTCCCCAACGTTTAGGAAAACAACATATATCAATATTAAACGACTGCTGCAAATATTAATTTGATAGAAAACCCAATTCTGTAAAAAGTTGGCTATCTTTCTTTGTGTATGTATCTATATATCTCCCTTTGGGGAGATAAAATGGGATAATAATAATAATAATAATAATAATAATAATAATAATAATGTGTATAGGGTGTGTGTGTATAGATAGATAGACCTCCTCCCCCCCCCCCCCCCCCCCCACACACACACACACGATGCTTGAGAAAGCATATATCAAAGCAGTTGGGATTTAATATATAGACAGTCACAATAATGTAGTGAGTTGAATTACAAATATCCAGGCATAGGTCTCACCAGAATGGGTGAGCATTCTGACCTACTTCACAGGATTGTTTGCCATCTTGAACTCTTTGGAGGCAAGGTGGGATGGAAACACAACAAATAGAGAGTAGCCCTAAACATGTTTTGGCTGAAGAGACTCAATACTGTGTGGAAACGAATGGAGCAAGGATCATTCCATTACACCACAACCCTCTCAACCATGACAAGGTAAGGGAATGTAGTATCAGAAGTAGTTCTCTCACTGGCAGATGGTGGTAATGATTCCTTAAGCAGGGCTTCCCATGCATGAGGATCTACTGTAGTGGTTCTCAACCTGTCGGTTCCCAGTTGTTTTGGCCTTCAACTCCCAGAAATCCTAACAGCTAAACTAGCTGGGATTTCTGGGAGTTGTAGGCCAAAACATCTGGGAACCCACAGGTTGAGAACCACTGATCTACTGGATTTGGATCTGCTGGATCTAAGCCTTCTCTGTTCTCTCAGGACCAGGGATAGATGAAAGGTTTTTTTTGGTTTTGGTTTTTTTTTTTTGTCCGAGGTAGAAAAACTAATAGTCTGTCATTGTACTGCACAGGTAACTAAGTGGCAGAATTAGCAAAACCCAGCCCAATTGTTTTGCTACAACTCTCCTTATGCCAGCTAGTTGGACCCAATCTAGACCTATTGGCTATGTTAGCTCTGAAGGACAGGCACACCCCAGCATCAACTTCTACCTCGGCCAGCTTGAACCAGCAGGTCCAGGATTGCAACCATGGACTCACCACTTTGATGCTTCCTGGCTTCCCTTTGAAGGGCAGAGTCCCACTAAGATGCAAACTATATTCCTATATAACACCACCGATCATCTGAAGACTACACTGTCATTTTCTAGGAGAAACTTGCTTCAATACTGCTAATATATTTAAAAAGTAACATTTGCTCTGTTTTTCACTAGAGAATGCTTAACTAATCACAAAATGGAAAAAAAGGTGGCAGGAGACAGGGGAAGGAAAAGGAGTGGGGAGAGAAATTCATTTTTAAGACACAAAAGGAGAGATTATTTCTGGTGTGACAACAAGCAGCACATTCACTTGCCTCTGTCAGGGGAATGTGTTATTGTTGCTGTGGAGGAGGAGAGGCGCTTATTGATAGGCGACTCCATTTGCTTTGGAAGATTCATTGTAGAGGCTGAAAGTTTGTCACATGCTGCAGAGAGATGCATTGAACACATTTATAGTCATTGCACATGGCTGAATGCTCCTAGAGCTAACCTTTAACTTTCTTACCTCCGGCCTTGCGACTGGATCAGAGAAAAGAATAAAGCACATCTGACAAACCCAATGTTCAGAGCTGCCTACCCGTTTTATAATTCAAGACGTAGAATTTTGTCTTACACGCTTTAACATTTCAGTTTTACAATACAGCAGATAAGGTTATTTTATAGTAAAAACTAAGAAGAGAGAAAGAAGGAATACTAATCCAAGAAAAGGGAAATAAAGACTACTGCTAATTTTACAGGCAGGTGTGATGAAGAAAACATTTCCTATTTTTCAGCTCCATTAATTGAGATGCTGGAAGACTCTTCATGATTTGCAAATAAGTCAGGGGTCTGTATGGTTTTTCAGCAAGAGAGGCATCTTATTTCTTCATGGTGAACATTTCCAAAGCTCAAAGCAACAGAAAAGATAGCTCCCTATTCTCTTCTGAGTACACTTACTCTTTTATCACACCAGGGCCTCGAATTTTTGCCACCTGCAGAATTCTGGGAAATGTAGTTTGAGAATACGAGGATCTCCATAGTTGAGAATTCAAAAGGCTCTGTTCCAAACTACATTTCCCAGAATTTTGCAGGTGGCAGAAATGCAGAGTACTTGTTTTGAAGCCCGGGTGTAATAATGTTGCTAATTACACTATGTGTGTGTTTCATATACTAAGTACCTCTGAAGCTCACTGCAAGAGGGAGCACTATATGCCCCCTCTTCTTCCCAGTCCCAAACTTAGGAGGATGGGACCCAAAAGCCTCCAAAATATAGCATAATAAAAATATTTGTATGATTAAAATTATGGTTTTTAAGCATTTACTGATAGATTTTAATATGTATCAGTCTCACATGCTCTTTTAATAGATGCTAGGTGCTGTTTTATCATTCCCAACTTCATGCAAATAATAATAATAGCAGCAGCAGCTAACATTATGAATAGTATGTGGCTGTCCAGAAGTTGCAAGACTGAATTTCCCATCATCTCGAGCAATGAGGAGGGTAAAAAATAAAATTCTTATTCTTATTATTTTCTTTTACCAAGGGTTATACTGGTTAGAACTTATGAGAATTGGAGTCCAGCATTGTCATGATGGCCAGGTGTTTCTACAATCTCAGAAATGATTACAAATTTTGTTTGAATGCCAAGGCTGACTCAAATATTTGGATTTTTGCTAAGATTTTATATTCAGTATCTAGCAATAAAGAGTGCTGATCTGTACTGCCCATCAGTGGTATTGCAGAAATCTCATTAGGTGCTTGGCAAATAAAGGTTTTATTTCAAAACTCATTTTGGTAACAATAGCTGATAACCACAGTACAGAATGGACTGAAGGGGTGGATTGTAGTCTATGACTAACAACTGGATTTAGGCTATAAGATTTAAATACATCTTAGAATAATTAGCTTCGCATACTTCTTACATAAATACCAGTCATAGCATGAATGAAATTATGATTATTTGCACGTAATAAACATACTCTGTTGGCTACATTTTATCTGGTGTGAATGTTTTCATGTAAGCAACAAGTTAGACCACTGAGCCCAGTATGGTTGGCATGCTCCCACCTCAAAACTCACCACCTGAATACGGGAGGTTATTCCCTATAGAATAAACTGTAGGGAAAATGCAACACGTTTCTGCTTGTCCCAGGGCAAGTATCGGGGTTTAGTCATCAGATGCCAGCTCACTCACTTGGTTTTGCATGGCACAATCAAAGCTAGTAAAGACATCCCATCAAAACAGCCGTACCCACACTTCTGATTTTTTGTTTTGCTGGAATGTGAATCCTAATCCAGAAGAATATACTCTTTTTCATATATTCCTCATATCAGGGGATAATAGAGGTAGAGTTATGCTATTAGCCCCCATTTTACCCTTACCATTGCTTGCCCATGCCTTGGAAAAGGATGTCTGAGTAGGGAAAGGCTATGTGTAGATTTCCTCCGAGATGAAACATAGCACAACCAGCATTCTATCTTTTGCAGTGAAATAGCCATATATTCTTTTTTGGGCAACAGCCATATTTAGTTTAATACTGTCTATATACCCTTTACCAAATTTTATATTAGTAAAAGCAACTATGGTGTAGAGCAGTGGTTCTCAACCTGTGGGTCCCCAGGTGTTTTGGCCTACAACTACCAGAAATCCTAGCCAGTTTACCAGCTGTTAGGATTTCTAGGAGTTGAAGGCCAAAACATCTGGGGGGACACAATTTAAGAACTACTGGTGTAGAGTTTTGAGCATTGGATTAGGACTCTAGAGGCAAGGATTTGAATCTCCACTTAGCCATGGGAACCCATTGGGTGACCTTGAGAAGGTCACATTATTACTTTTGGAGGGCAACAAAGGCAACCCCCACACACACAAATCTTGCCAAAATAAATATTGTGATAGGGTCTTCATAAGTCAGGAATGACTTGAAGGTAAATAGTAACAAACTAAACAGGAGCTGACACATATGTTTTGATTTATAGAAGGACATTTTTCAATATAAAACCAAGCACACATAAGTAAGGAGCAGTCCAAGTCAAGATGCAGGGATGAAAAATTGTAGAAAGGCAGCAACAAGTTTATTATTATACTAATCACTAGCAGCTACCTATTTTGTTTGTTGTGGCTGTGAGTCTTCAAATCATATCTGACTTATGACAGCTCTAAGGTGAGCCCATCTTGGGGATTTCTTGGCAGAATTTGTTCAGAAGAGGTTTTTTTCCTCCCCTTATCTTCCTCTAAGGTTGAAAGACTTTACCCAAGGTCACCCAGTGGATTTCTACAGTTCAGTGTGGATTCAAAACCTGGTTTCCCAGTGTCTTAGCCCTATATTTGAACTTCTATGCCATGCAAAGCTAGTGTCATTTAATGGTTTGAACATTGGACTAGGACACAAGAGACCAGGGTTCAAATCCCTGCTCAATCCCAATGGCAAACTACCAATTCGGGTTTTAGAGCAGGGGTCCTCAAACTAAGGCCCGTGGGCTGGATACGGCCCTCCAAGGTCATTTACCCAGCCCTCGCTCAGGGTCAACCTAAGTCTGAAATGACTTGAAAGCACACAACAACATCAACAACAATCCTATCTCATCAGCCAAAAGCAGGCCCACACTTCCCATTGAAATACTAATAAGTTTATATTTGTTAAAATTGATCTTCATTTTAATTATTGTATTGTTTTAAAGTGTTTTTTGCACTACAAATAAGATATGTGCAGTGTGCATGGGAATTCATTCATGTTTTTTTCAAATTATAATTTGGCCCTCCAACAGTTTGAGGGACTGTGACCTGGCCCTCTGCTTAAAATGTTTGTGGACCCCTGTTTTAGAGTATCTAGTCTTTATTTGATTTTACTATGAAAGACTAGTTTCCATCAACAATGTAACCCACACAATGAAAAGCTATTAAAACAATTCATTGCAGTCCAGAATGCTCTGGTTCCAAAACAACTCTACAATTTAATACTGTCATGAATGTAAAGTAAGGGTTTAGTTCTTTCTGCCTTTGGATAACAAGTACATGATTTCTGAAGAAAAAAACATGTTACAAGTAAAATGTTCTTCCTACATGCTTATATTATATAACTGAAATGTTTGAACCTTCATACTCCATCCAACACTTATTTTCACCTGCAGTTACTCAAAAAGGCACACAATAAACACAACACATGTGAGTGTTTCACACTTTGACAAAAGATTATGAACTTGACAATAGTGGGGGAGGTGTTTGGAATATCACTATGATTTTGGAATATCAAGCATGCATTGGTTCACTATGGCAAAATCGAAAAGAAGAAGACACTGTGCAATGGATGGGCACAATTCACCAAGTCACTTTCTTCATTTCCATGGGAACTGTTGCATTCAGTCTCAGGGCCCTTCCACACAGCCATATAACCTAGAATATCAAGGCAGAAAATCCCACAATATCTACTTTGAACTAGGTTATTGGAGTCCACACTGCCATATATCCCAGTTCAAAGCAGATATTGTGAGATTTTATTCAACTGTGTGGAAGGGGCCTGAGTCAGGCTTACACAACCTGGTGCCTTCCTGATATTTTTGGCCTATAACACCAAGCAACCCAGCCAGTATGGGCAATGTTCAGGAATTACATGACTTATGGCCCAAAACACCTGAATGGCACCAGGCTGGGACAAACCACTCTAAGTGAGAGAGGGGTAGCCACAGTGCTTTGGTTAATTGAGCCCTTAACCTCCAGTGTGAACACTGTCAAGGATAAAACTGAAAAAAAAAAACCAAGAGAACACGTCAGTCACTGATAAGGACAAAACTGGTGGATGACAGACAACACTATGGCACTGTGAGTCTCTCAAATACCATTGGAGGAATCGGTTGCAGCAGTTGAGGTCAGAGGGTCTGGAAGAAGGGTGTTGGCAGCTAAACCTAGAGGGGGTGGGCTATTTTCTGATTCACCTACACAACAAGAAAAAATCAGAGCAAAGAGAGGTGACAGATTACATAAAGAGTGTTAAAAAACCCAAACAATACACTAAAGACTTCTAATATGTCTGTTTCTGGACATGTTAAGAGCTTGTCCTTCTCAAGATGGATATAGATTTCTCTGCACCACCCTGAGGAAAAACTGTGCTAAACACATCAGTTTTCATAGCAAGGATGAGCACTGGAAAAGCTCTCATCGTTAAAAGAAAATCCTAACACATTTTAACTAAACAAAATCTACAAGAAGAAGCTGGTGAATTTAAAAACATTTGGATGATTTTGGAAAATAATGAATGTTAATACATGGTTGATGTTAACTTGCTTTGAAATCAAACCAAAGAGAGAGCAGCTAAAGGAAAAGGGTGGCATTCATATCCATCTGTAAATACTGCACAATCATGGAGAAGTCCATTGAGATTTTAAGGAGTGCCTGGGATAAAAATAGACTACCTTCTGCCAAGTCATACAGAGCTGATAGCCATAATAATGCAGAAGGGCTTATTTCAATTGTGTCTAATTTGTTTGAGTATTTATTTATAACAGACTGTTTATGTAGACAAACTTTGCTGCTGGCCTACTTACAAGAAGATTATCTGAGTGTGAAATTTAACAATAACATATTTTTTAATCATGCATCTCAAGGGTTTTTCTCTCCCCCTTCCCCCCCCCCCCCACACACATTCTTTGCAGCTCACCACCAAAACAGATTTTGCAGCTTTCTTTTTAATCTGAGTATTTGCAATTCACAATCTGCAATGCAGTCAGCCACTTTCACTCACCATCTCTGTCTCCAGAGCCTGCAGCCAGTGCTCCTCCCCACGACCATCTCTTCTGTTTTTGCTCCAGCTGCTGACTTCGTTCCATGGACCTCCGCATCATTGCTTCTAATCGCTCCTAAACCATCATTGAGGGAGCGGGGATTAAAAACATGTCTGACTTAAAGAATCTCATTACAAAACCCTCAAGCAAATAAAACCGTGTTTTTATTCTGCCTACACATACAAGCAGGTTGCCAGCACTGCAAAAAGCAGTGAGCAAATTGCCACATCCACTCACCTCCAAAAATATATATCCTTTGTCTGCAGACAACTACTGAGGTCACCACAGAGGCTGAAGTTAGTAACACAAGTTACATCACCTCCAAGCATCTGCTCCTGCTGACAAGACTGCTGCTGTGCCTCTGTCTCGACTTAATTTGTTTAAGAATAATGCATGAGAAGCATTAACTCTGTCATCTCAGCAGAGCTACGCTTTCCTCCTTCAGTGGCGAAGCTCAGCTGCTGCAATAAATCCCTCTGACTGCACTGAAATTACACTTTTATATATGCAATCACCACGAAAAACAAACACCCTGTCTACTGAAAAATCAACCACCTGTACTTGTCTGCAGTTGATGTTTTCATTATTCTAAGTCTATCTTCATTGAGGCAAGGGAAAGAAAAGGCTCCACCTCTTTCAATTTCTTCCTCTCACATCATTTATATGGCTTCTGTGGGGATTGATAAATGAAAATAAACAGAAGCATTACCACATTACCACAGTTTCTGAACCAAGATATACCCTGCAGTATAATAAAGTATCACTCGGGCTTGTGTAACAAGTAACACTGACTTTACTTCAGTTCAAAAGGTCAAACAGGGCAACAATATATACAGCAGTCTCTCTGAATTCACACAGAGAACAGAGGGAATAAACAGTCCTTTTTAAATAGTTTTTAAAATATGCTTCGTGCCTTAGAAATGATCAGGTTTCAGAGAGTTGGCAACCATTTTCTTACTGGCTGTTTCCAGTCAGTGCTCTCTTCACTCTCCAAAGTGAAAGTGGCAGTTAAAACCATTTGTCTCAGCAGCAAGCTAGAGATAGTAGCCAATCAGAACTCTGACCCCTGGCATGCTCAGCCAATCAGCTGCTGACACATGGGGGTTTGCCTTTTCCTTCCAATGAAGCTGAGAGTGTGTGACTTACCCAAGGTCACCCAATGGATTTCCACAGCTCAGCCTGTTGGTTGTTGCAAACGACCTCATTTTTTCATAAGATTTTAGCTACTAGTCTTTAGATGTTTTAAATCTACTTATACATTTATAATAAGCATTTATGTTTGTATGGCTCATTTAAGTTTTCACCTCTGGTTATTTTGTTTGTTATTAAGTTTAAAGTTAGGTTGCTTTTATGTTGTTTGATGTGGTAGGTTTTTATGTAATTTGTTTGTATGCTTTGGCGTTTTTGTATTGAATGTTTGCCATACATGTCGGAAACCGCCCTGAGTCCCTTCAGGGAGAAAGAGCGGTCTACAAATAAAGTTTTATTATTCAGTTCTTGTGGGTTTTTTCGGGCTATATGGCCATGTTCTAGAGGCATTTCTCCTGACGTTTCGCCTGCATCTATGGCAAGCTTCCTCAGAGGTCAGACCTCTGAGGAAGCTTGCCATAGATGCAGGCGAAACGTCAGGAGAAATGCCTCTAGAACATGGCCATATAGCCCGAAAAAACCCACAAGAACTGAGTGATTCCGGCCACGAAAGCCTTCGACAATACAAAGTTTTATTATTATTTATTATTATAGTCCAAAACCAAGTCATTGGCTCTCTCACATGTCCTTTGCATTTCATTTATTTCATTCATGTGTCAGTTTATAACCAGAGCTGCCAGGGTATCATGTATAAAAATGAAAATATTAAGACACATAATATCAGATTTTTTTAAAAAAAGAGAAGCATGAGATTCCTCACAGGGATCCATAACACTCAGAAATACAAGGTGTGGTACCATCTGTTTGAAGGCACGGCAGTGCAGATGACCACTAATGCTACTGGGGCTGGGTCACAGAATCCTGTAGCCCAGACAGATCCTAAAGGTTATCATTCATGCATGTTTATATGTGTATTGTAAATTGGGTGAGGATTGCTTTGTTACATTTTGGGCAATTGCTGCCTATTATGTTTCATTTATTCCACAGTAGTCTTTGGTCCTTCATGATTATACTGGAAAGGTGCTGCTAGTACAGGTAACACAATTAAAACCAATGTGTGTCTATAAGATAAGCCCAATTCTGTGTCTATAAGATAAGCCCACTTTCCTAAGTAAAAGTGATAAGCATTAGTATTTGTGGTTTCCTCAACCTGTTGCACGACAGCTCCCATCATCCTAGGAAAGTCAATCAGGCAAACTTGGTTCCAAATGGAAGGTGAACCTTATGAAAAACGATAGTCCTCATCCCTTCCTAGTTGCAACAGCAGGGATGTGCAGTTTCTCGATGGTTTTGGACCCTAACTCGTTTTGATTACAGGCAGTAATACAAGATAATATGAGTTGCAGTCCAAAAACTAATAAATATTCTTGATTCTGCTTGAAGCATGTAGTACAAACTGTGGTATCAGAGTATTTCAAGTTGTTTCATAGCATTTCTGTGGTTCAAGCCCTAGATAACCAAAAATCCATTTATAAAATATTCTTGATACTTGTCAAAACTGAACTTACCGTATATACTCAAAAGATAAGCCAGGTTTTCCAGCCCCTGTTTTGAGCTGAAAAAGTTTGCCTCGGCTTATAATGGGGACAAGGTCAAGGCCAGGCAGCGGAGCCTGGAGGCAATTGTTTACAATATAGGATATATTTCTCTCTCCTCTTCATGTCCTTTGACAGTGTGTTTTCTTTTCCAGTCAAATGGGAGGGAAGGAGGGAGATATATTTCATGCCCTCCTTGTTTGGTTAGCTCTCTTTAAAACTCATCCAATATCCTGGCTTTTTTTTGTATGTGTGTGTATCTAAACGTAGTAACTTTATATGTGTATTTTTGTTGTTGGAAGTTTTCCTCTCATGTTTTCACGTCTTTGCAAATCCTATATACATATAGATATCTAGAGATTTCCATGTACCTGTATATCTGTATCTATATGTATGCATTATTGTTATATGAATTTTCCCCTTACATGTTTGCAAGTCTCTGCAAATCCTATATATGGGGAGGGGGGGAATGGCTAGATAGATATATATGAATACAGATATATAGGGCTTGCAAATATTGCAGGAGGGAAATGTACATAGAGAGAGGGGGGATTTGCAAATGTTTCAGGGGGAAATGCATATGTGAAATTAGTATATATAATTATAGATCTATATCCAGCTCTGCATTGTTTACATAGGCATTGAATATTTGTCTGTTACTATGTTGAAAGCCGGTTTGAATCCCCATGGGGAGATAGGGAGGAATACAAATGAAGTTCTATAATAATAATAATAATAATAATAATAATAATAATAAGTTATTGCTGATAACATATTGTTTTTGTTGACCCTACTTACAGAGCTAGTTTACTGTTTTTCTTTGAAATACGGTAAATATTCAAAAACATTTAACCTCTTGATGCCTCAATTAATGTAATTTTGTTAGTATCTATTTTTATTTTTATTTACCAGCAGCTGCTGCATATTCCACCCTCGACTTATACTCAAGTCAACAAGTTTTCCCAGTTTTTGTGGTAAAATTAGGTGCCTCGGCTTATATTTGGGTTGGTTTATACTCAGGTATATACGGTAGTTATTATACAGACCTCTGTATAATAACTGTTTCTTTTCTTAACCTCTTTTCATTATCTCCTGACTTTCTGTGTGTGTCAAGAGCGACTTGAGAAACTGAAAGTCGCTTCTGGTGTGAGAGAATTGGTCATCTCCAAGGACATTGTCCAGGGGGCGCCCAGATGTTTTATCATACTATGGGAGGCTTCTTTCATGTCCTCACATGAGAAGCTGAAGCTGACAGACGGAAGCTCACCCCACTCCCTGGATTTGAACCGCCAATCTTTCTGCAATGACTTTTTAAAAAGCTATCTCAGGGACTGGCAAATCTGAAATATTATTACGAGGCTCTGATACTTGCACCACTATGGCTCACCAGAGGACTGGAAAAGCAAAACCAATACATTTCTTTGATCCTGGGTAATGATCACCTCTTTTGTGTGACATCAGAATACTACAGAACATAAATTGAATGTGTGATGGTTTCAGACAGGAAGCATATTAAAAAGTGGTTATTGCCACACAATTTGTACTGTAGTACTATAGCCACTGGTCAGTTATTCTTCTGTCAGTCAAACTGTATGTTAGTATATCAAGATGTTGCTATAGGTTTTCCTCAGCAAAAACTAAATGAAAACTATGAAGTATTAATTTTTGAGCTAAAACAAAGACAAGGATATGAAAGCTGATGGATGAAAACATCTTTATGGGTCAACAGTTCTGTCTCTGGTGATGTGATGTGTGCAATGGCATTGCTGCCTAATACAAATACATGTTTCGTGTTGCTAAATATCCCTCTTCAGTATTAGGAAATAAATCACATTACAAAAAACACTAAGTGACTTCCTCTTTGTTAAAGGAAATCAAAACATGAAGAGAGTCGCCCTAAAAATTCCAACAACTCAAGGACATGGGGAATGTACAACATATTCTCCACACACTCCAAAAACCCAACCTCCTATTCTGGGTCACAATCATAGAACAGCATGCTAAAAATGTACTGCCTACCTCTTCTTCTCTGAGCCTTTGTCTCCTCTTTTCTTCAACAGCTGCTCTTTTTTGCTCTTCCCTCTGCCTCTGTTCCTCCAGCTTCTTCCACCGTTCCTCTATTTGCTTTTCGTATTGAAGCTTTGCTCTCCTTTCTTTTTCTAAGATTTGCTGTTCCCTAGCAGCTTACATTAAAATATAAAAATATAAAATATAACATCTTATATGCTAATAGTGATCTCGATTCTTCAAACACCAGCCCTTATTGTAGTCCAAATGGTACTTCCCACACATAAGCAGAATGTGTCAGCAAGCTTAGGGGGGAAATTTCATGGTTTGACAGAGTATGTAGAGTAGGGAAAGAAGTGAATTTTATATTTGTCATACCCTAACGGAAGGGGGTAGAGGAAATCATCAAGATGACTGAACAGAGGCCAAAGATTATCAATGGCCACAGAATGCTGTCTGTGCACAAGAAAATATAGAAAATCAGGGGAGAGTGGACAGAATGGAAGAATATGAGGAACATTTTGCTGAAGGTCTCACTTCTGCAAATAAGCTTTTATTTTAGAATTAAGCACAAACTTTACTAAATTGTCAAATATTAAAGGAAAATAAAAAGTCTTTTTTAAACAAATAGTATATACATCCAGGTAGAAAGGTAAAGGGTTTCCCCAGACATTAAGTCCAGTGGTGTCCGACTCTGGAGGTTGGTGTTTGTCTCCATTTCTAAGCCAAAGAGCTGGCATTGTCCATAGACACCTCCTAGGTCATGTGGCTGGCATGACTGCATGGAGCACTTTTACCTTCCTGCCAGAGCGGTACCTATTAATCTACTCACATTTGCATGTTTTTGAACTGCTAAGTTGGCAGAAGCTAGGCCTAACAACAGGAGCTCACCCCACTCCATTAATCTGAACCTGCAACCTTTTGATCAGCAAGTTCACCAGCTCAACGGTTTAGTCCACTGCACCATCGGGGGCTCCATATACACCCAATTGCAACACATATATATGCCATATACACGTAAACACCAATGATTGCGGGGAACTGCAAAACCTCTCTAGCAACTGAATTCACTCACATGATTTCTTAACAACTTTAATGCTTGGTTACTACAACTCAGCAAAACTGCTAATAAGGAATGCGCACAAACCCCCTGATTTTTCTGCCTCTTGACCCTTCCCCCTTCGAGTTCACTAAAGTTTGTTTGCCAGCTTCCAAGCCAGTTTGAACCAGTTCTCATTATCACTCCTTTTGCAGGCCAAGTCTTTTCTTACCAGTATATTCTCATGCTAGGTATGCAGATGTCCAGATATTTACATATTTTTCTCTTTGGCTTCAAAGCTGGCATAGGTAAGTTCTGATGTTTCAGCAACCACAGACAAATCAATGACAATGACTAATAGTTTAAGTTGTCAAATGATTTAATCTTCTTAATTCGTTAACTGGAAAATTTGATTAAAAATGGAAAACCTTGGATATAGCTGTCGAGCATAAGGAACACTTTCTTCAGATTTTGTAAAGTGGACAAGTCTATCCAATGCAGCCTGGAAAATGCAACAGTGAGCCCGAAATGGAAGGTGGAATGGAATGAGATCTACACACTCCTTTTCCTTCTGGGTGGCCGTTGTGTTCTTCCTATATTTCAAGGGATCTGATTGTCTCTTGGGCAGTGGAAATGACTGCCTTGGAGAAACCTTTGAGAGTCTTCAAGCAAAGATTGAGCAGCCATCTTACAGGCATTATTTAGTTGACTAGAAGGCTGGAGGTTGAATTAGATGTCCCATATGGTCCCTTCCAAGTCTTTAGATTCTATGAACCCTATTATCACTTAACTGAGAAGTTGTTGCTTCAGGAGGTCTGGAACTCTGACAACAACTTTGAAGGTCAACATGTAGCCAAGCTGAGCTTGGCTATAATGCCTGGAAAAGTTTCTAAACTGCATTTGTTTTGGCTTATAGCATTTTCAAATTATATGAAATGACATGGCTTGACCAAATACAACAGCATTACTGAAACAAACTATGGAGGTACTAAGAGGAGAGGAACACTTCCACATCCAAGGAAAAGAAAGCAACTTACCAAGATATTTTTCCCTTTCTTCTCTTCTTTCTCTAGCGAGTCTTTGCCTTTCATCAGTCTTCAGAAATCCATCCACAGCTAACATCAAAAGAAGGGGAGAAATAAACTGTATCAAAGCTGTATTGTTTTAAAAATTATTTTGATAGTTCATTTTTAATTATTAACCACAAGACGAGTGACTCAAAGCTTTTGGACTTACAACAGGCTTTTCTTAAACTGCAATGCCTATCTGAGGACATGAAGAAACAAATCAATGATGGATGATTAATACCCAGTAACCATCTACTACCAAGGAAGTCAAAAACGTAAAATGACAGAATTCCACTAGTGGTCACCTATAGTTCCTGGCTGAGACCACTCAGATGTATCAACACGCTATAACAAGTATTTAAAAATAATCAGTCATCTCACAAGCTCTGTAATACAGACCTTTATTGGCCCATAGAAAGCTGTCAGATCCACATAAGTTGGGTAGCAATATAGGGACAAGACCCTGACAAACAGAGCAACCTCTACACAAGACACATTCCACATCTGGAATACTGTTTCCAATCCTGGGTACCACAAGGGATATGTTGACAAGCTGGAATATGTCTAGAGGAGGGCGACTATATGATCAAGGGGCTAGAGAACAAGCCCTATGAGGAGCTGGACATGTTTGGCCTGCAGAAGAGAAGACTGAGAGGACACATGATGGCCATGTGAGGGGAAGTCATAGGGTGGAGAGAGCAAGCTTGTTTTCTACTGCCCTGGAGACTAGATGCGGAACAATGGCTTCAAACTACAGGAAAGGAGATTCCACCTGAACATTAGGAAAACTTCCTAATGGTGAGAGTTGTTCAGCACTGGAACTCTCTGCTCAGGAGTGTAGTGGAGGCTCCTTCTTTGGAGGCTTTTAAACAGAAGTTGGATAGCCATCTGTTGGGAGTGTTCTGAATGTGATTTTCCTGCTTCTTGACAGGGGGTTGGACTGGATGGCCCATGCAGTCTCTTCCAACTCTATGATTCTAAGAGAATTAATGAACACAGATCTGACATTAGAAGTGTCAATACTACAAAACGAGTTGAAGAATATTTCCTGGACATATAGTATGGGATATATAGGTCACCGTCCTTAAACAAGGGAATTACAAAGGAAGATAGAAAGAGAAACAGCTGAATTGAATTACATCCCCAAATTCCAATTCATTAGCCAAGTTATGATAAACTGTATGTATTAATTCAATAGTTCTTGTTACTGAACATGTTTTCTCAGGCCCCTTCTATATTGCCATATAAAATCTAGGTTATCTGTTTTGGTATTGTAGACTCTTATAATCCAGTTCAAAGTAGATAATGTGGATTATCTATGGTACTCTGATAATCTGGATTATATGACAATGTAGAAGGGGCCTCAGAACACAAGAAAGCATACCTTTGGTAAACACATTTATTGCTTTCATCCATTCATCCACTAACTGACCACTGTGAAGATCGGAAAGATGTATATCACCTTTAAATTCCATTGCAACCTCACAACTGTATAAAATGCTTTATACCCAAGGCTGTAATAGCACTAAGTACTTCATCTCAAGAAGTGGGTTTATACCTTTGAATGCTCATGCTAAAATAAAACCCAATTATTCTTAAATATGTAGCCTTTATTTTCTTGTCTTCTCCCTTCTTTTTTATGCCACAAGTAATCTGATAATTTTTTTTCAAAAATCTTCCAACTGTCGTGACTAGGTTGCATAACATGAAAGATTTATAATTAACAGAATGCATCAGCCACAACATTTCATACAGAGAAGAAAAAATAAGACTTTCAATGAATAGCTCACATTCAACATCACAATGTAGTTTCATTAGCCTAGATCCAAGCATTGTGTTTCACAGTTTACAACTGCACAACTGGTTCCCCTTTTTCAAATTTTCCATGATTTTGCTACATGGGTCAATTTGAAAGGACCACAGCTTTCCTCTTAAACTGAAGAAACCTGGATCGTAACATTTTTGTCTTTCTGGAAAGAGATTATTGCAGTGATGTACCAATATATAACCTTCATATACTATGAAGTCATACAGATAGATGAAGTACATCAATGTACACAAAACAATTTGTTATGAATATTACTTGATTTTTTTGTTGTTGTCACATTCCTGTTTGACATTTCATGCCACACCTTTTAAAACCCTGTAATAAAGTGATGGCACAGTTTGGTTTAATTTTCGATTGTTTGTTTGTGATACAAATTATGATTATAGGTTCTGGGGTATCCAATCCCCCTGCAATTCCTCCATGCTCTCCTGTTTTTCCACCAGTGCCTCCTTACATGTTTTAAAGTTTTCTGTAGTGTAAGTGTTGTAAATTGGCGCCATTGCTGTCTTTATTATAGTTCTAAGCTAGTGATGTTGTTGTTTGTTTCCTTAGAGAAAGATCGTAAACCAGCCCTCTGCAGCCTCTTGTAATGCATCACTTCACATAGCAGGTGTGTGTCAAGTAGAAAATTGTCCTGCCTCAAGGAAACAAGCACAGTAATAGTGCCATTATAGTTTACTGTCTACTGCCCTATAACTACTGCCCTATAACTCTGGAAGGTTTCTTAAAAATCTATTCTAACAGTTTAATTGTGTTGTGTATTGTTGTTTTTGTGTAATTGTGTCATTGAATAATTACCAAAATTGGAAGCCACTCTGAGTCCCCCTTGGGGTGAGATAGAGAAGGGTAAAAATATAGCAAATAAATAAATAAATAAATAAATAAATATTTTCTTAGCACTCAAGCTGTGCCTACACCGATGTGGAGATATTGGAAATATAGGTATTTATACATATATTGTATGTACATTAGAAGTACTGAAATATAGAAAAATCAGATTCTCTCTGTATTAGGAAGCCAAGCTGACAGGACAAAAGGATGCTGAAGGAGACCTGTGTTGAAAGGGGGAGGAGAAGGGAGGTCTGTTATCTATACATTCCAGAGACATGGTACAGCTTAGTACAAGTCATACCTTTTTACTTCTAAAAGTAAGGAGTCTCTCTCCTTCCCTCCTGACAGGTCAAAAGCAGGCCTCTTGATGGATCTCTGTAGCTGAACTCTAATAACTCTAACTTGCTGTAAGCTGCTCTTTAGAAAAAAATATGGAGACATGCCTCTTGCATGTAGAAAGATAGAATTTGATATTTCTATGATGCTAAAGTGACGCAGTGATGATGATATGTATGTAGAAGCATGTTTCTTTGTTTGCCTACATTTGAAGATGTATAAAAGGGAACATCAATGCCTTTATCCTCACTCTGGTTTGCTTTTGGAGGAGATTCCACGCCAGGTTCTCAGCTGAAAATAAAACCATATTTTTCTGCCTCACACAAAGGATCACTCTTGGTATTGTCTCTCCCATCAGCCATAAAAACACCAGTTTCAATAAACACAGCAATAGCACATATTTACATGAAACTTTAAAACATGTAAGGAGGCACTGGTGGAAAAACAGGAGATGATGAGAAAAGCTTGAACCCAAATTGGAAGTCTAAGGGAGGTATAGGCAGACTTTGGCCACACCTGGAGGGGTGAAGTTTGCCCATGCCTGGTCTACAGTCAGCCCTCCACATTTGCAGATTTGACTTATATGGAGTTGATTCAAATGTTCCAAGAATCTCTAGGTTTGTTCCTGCAGAATTCCAGGAAATGTGGTTTATGAAAAGTGAGGACATCTCTGGTTGAGAATTCCAAAGGCTCCACCCTAAACTGCATTCCCCAGAATGCAGTTTAGCACTGGCAATAGAACGGCCCCTTGTGGGATTCCACATAATAGCTCCTTTTTTATGGCGCACCTATCCCCACCACCACCTTCTGGAATCTGCCTGAGAGCTTTGACCAAAACCACTGCAACACAGTGCCTCTGATTCCTAACTCCCTAAGACATTCCAAAATGATACCATGGTTGATGGTATCGAAACCTGCTGAGTGGTCTACAAGCACCAACAGCGACGCACTTCCCCTGTCAGTGTTGTGATGGAAACTGAGTGATTGGGAAACATGGACCTGAGCTTTAGAACTCTAATGTGATATTGTCCTAGGTCTTCCAGTTGCTCTCTCTAAGAATCTCAAGGTCCTCCAGATATTTTATTATTTACTTGTTCACTTTTATGGAGATCCTGTGTTCCTAAACTCAGAAAATGTGGAGGGCTGGCCATAGTTTGTGCATGCATGGGAGAAATTGCAGTAGTAATGTCTGCGATCAACTCAAAGTTCCTCAAAGTGGACAAGACCAAAGCGGACAGTAATCTCCCAAAGCAGACAAGAGCACGAGGGATGAGGCACAAAGGCTGCCCTTTGAAGCCTTAAAGCCCTATACTCTGGTGCTAGTACTCTCTCTGGCACTAGCTCTTAACTCAACATGCGGCTCATATGTCAAAGCAAAACCCAGGCTGAGCAACGGCCCTTAAGTTGGAACTCTCTTAGGTTGGGGTTTCACTGTATATGAAGAAATTGACCACTCCCTTCAAAAACAGCATTTTCAAACCACAAATACAATGGAGAATAAGAATGACAAAGAGGAATGCCCTAGTCATTGGACTATTAACATCTGTGAAGTTGGCAGGTGCTATAAATGCATTTTCTTCAATGCTGGTCCCTGCCTTGTGGGAATGTTTCTCACGATACAGGGAGATGGCTCCACAAGTGTACATACATTAGGAAAGTATTTGAAAATGGAAGCAAATGCTCCTTTCTATACTCAGAACAGGTATTGCCTCTAGTATGATCTCTGTCTATACCAGTGGTCCACAAACTTTGTAAACAGAGGGCCGGATTATAATCTGAAGGAAAAAAAAACAACAACCATGAATGAATTCCTATGCACACTGCACATATCTTATTTGTAGTGCAAAATAAAACTTTAAAAGAATACAATAATTAAAATCAAGAACAATTTTAACAAATATAAACTTATTAATATTTTAATGGGAAGTATGAGTCTGCTTTTGGCTGATGACATAGGATTGTTGTTGTTGTTGTGTGCTTTCAAGTCATTTCAGACTTAGGTTGACCCTGAGCGAGGGCCGGGTAAATGACCTTGGAGGGCCGTATTCAGCCC